AAATCTACAAATAGTGTAAAAGTTTTGTTGAATTGGCCCCAGAACTGCATGAATATTGAAGACCTGTGGAAGATCTGGGAATGGGAATAAAATGTTTGGCATACACAGGCAACAGGTCTCTGTTTCAAACTTCTCTGTGAGTATTGCCTCCAAAACAATTTACTGCATGATCCATATCATTGTAGCTATCATTCCAGCTGAGTACCAGCTTTATATTTTGTGACTTCTTTCAAGACAATTTTTTACCTCAGAGACAATTGTTTTGTCAAAAATGCTCTGTGTAATGTGGATTGGACTTGTAACCCAGTTAACCCTTCACATAACTAACATCAGTATGCATATTCTCCTAACTGTTTATCTATACAGTTCGTAAGGTACTGACAAGGAGAATTTGGTTAACACATTAAAGAGCTTCTTCTCACTTGGCAATGATATTTCCTTTATTCTTGTGACTTAAATGTGTGATTCTGTGGTGATATTGTAAGGAGAAATTAGATGCTAGTCACACTTAAAGTGCCGATGAAGTAAAAATTTTTTTGGGCCTGTTTGTTTGCTTATGTCTTGATGAACACAGCTAAGCGATTTTGACCGACCAAAAGCACTTTCTTGTCTTATTTTTTGAACCTCAAATTTTGGATTTCGCAATCTGAAATGGGTCCATTTTGCGCGCGATCAAATCTCTCATCTTACACAGGAAGTGACGTAGTTGTTTTTTCTGAAGATGACAGTTTCATGGCGGACAAGGGGGCAAAGAAGGGAGCTAAGAATTATTGCGCGGCCGGTGGCCCCAATAAAGTGAATTGCTCCAACAAAACCGGAACACCTGAAATTTCCATGCATTACTTTTCCCAGGAGGAAAGTTAGCGGCAGAAATGGACGCCATTTGTCCGGATAAATCGGAAAGATTTCGTGCCGAAGAAGTCGTAATGCCTGTGTTCCGCTCACTTTGACGATAGTTGTTTCGAACACAAGCCGGTTTCTTTAATGGATGCAACTGGAGAAGCTATTCAGTTAAAAAAACTTCATGATCTTAATGAAATAAAAGATAAAATTAATTATTAACTATTAAATACAACGTTTCATGATAAATTATTTAAAAGCAGTTCGCATACATTCTTTTTAAAAGTCCTCAGGGAAGGGTTTAACCTTAGGTCCAAGGGGAGTGAGTTCCAAACTTTTGCTCCCCGAAAGGCAAATGACCACTGGCCAGTAGAAAGTCGACAGCGTGGCAAGTTGAGATCATTATTATCAACAGATCTAAGTTCTCTATTATGAACTTGTGACCTATATACAAATTTGTCTTTCAAATAGATGGGCACCCGATGGTGTAAGCATTTATGTACCATGACGGCTGTGTTTAATCGCAATTCATCTTCAATACTAAGCCACCTAAGTGATCTAAGGCCCTGAGAGATGTGATCGAACTTTTTCAGGCCGAGTACAATATTTCCCGCGAAGTTCTGAACCAGTTGCAGCTTCTTTATATTTGACTTGGATGTGTTTCCCCAAACAGTCGAACAATAAAAGAGTTTACTAAATACGAAGGCATTAATCGTTAAAAGTAGAGTTCTGCGATCTAATAAGTGTTTTATCCTATTTATTTGAACAAGTTTGTGAACGCAGCTCGAAACTAGCTTTGATATATGTTCATGGTAATTGAGAGTTTGGTTGATACAGACACCCAAGTCTCTGGCAACAGAAACAGGTTCAATCTCTTTTCCAAGGATGGTAACAGATAGACATGGAAAATTACGCAAGAGTTGTAGATCGCCAATAACCAAGAGTTTAGTCTTGTCAGGGTTAATCAGTAGTGAACTGTTGAAGCACCAACGGGATATTTCCAAAAAGTCTTCATTTAACGCATTGCTTCCGTCAGTAATAGCACGAGAGGTAAAAGATAAGAAAACTTTTATGTCGTCTACGTAACCTGAAGATTTGCTGTGTTTAGGAATCGATAATAAATCGTTAACATACACTGTGAACAGTACAGGACCCAGGATGGAGCCTTGGGGAACTCCGAAATTTAAAGGTAATGGATCAGAAATTGCGTCTTCGATTCTTACGAATTGACTACGTTTTGTCAAGTAACTCTTAAACCAGGTCCAAGCGGTAGTAGAGACGCAGATTTTGTGGAGTTTCATAAGTAGGCGCTCATGCTGAATGCTGTCGAAAGCTTTCGAGATATCTAATAAAATAATCAAGGAAATTTTCTTCTCATCCCTGTTCTTTAAAATGTTATCTGTAAATTGAAGTAGAGCCGTCTCGGTAGAGTGTAATTCACGATTACCGCTTTGAAACTTTGAGATTTTTCCGGAGCGATTCAGAAAATCAACAAATTGACGATAGGAGAGTCTCTCACAAACCTTCGATAATATTGGAAGCAAGGAAATAGGGCGTGTATTTGCTGTTCGATGGAATCGCCAGACTTAGGGACAGGTATCACTTGTGCCATTTTCCACGATCAAGCAAAAGTGCCTTGTAAAAAAAAATTACTTGATTATCGGGAGTATTGCAGGAAGGCCATCCTTAAGAACTCTAGATGGTATTTTGTCGGCACCAGGAGCTTTATTCGAGAGTAGACCATTAACGATAATAAGAGAGAGATTTAGCAAGAGGACGGGAACGTCATTTCAGAACGGGAGAGCGCGCGGAATAGTCTGAACACGACACCGTTCGACTTCCGGTGTTGGCGTTGC